CTGTCCACGCGGATGGAGTTGCAGCGGCTGAAGTAGGGCTGCAGGTTGGGGCAGTCGGTGCTGCATTCGTAGCAGCGGCCCTGGAAGCCCCGGTCTTCGTAGAAAGTGATCTGCAAAGGAAGAAGAATTCCGCATGAAATTATTTGCTCCCAGTCGATTCTTGCAAAAGCTTCCTCCGCTTCCCTTTCCTTAGCCTGTCCCCCGCTCACCTTTCCCATGGCCTGTTGACACGGACGGTGCAAGCTCAGTGTGGTGCAGCCGGCCAGCCGCAGCGGGTCTATATAGCCCGGGCGCTGCTGCGTTGGCAGGAACAACACAAAAGGGGCCCGCAGGGGTGAGTAAGGGGATTTTATGGATCCCTTTTACGTGCTGCATTCAGTGGCAGTGATTGTAGATTTGCCTTCATTCTCTGGTATATTCTAATGCTGCCCCATATGTGCTGCTCTCTGTTGCTTTTATTTGGATTCTTAGTGTTTTCTAAATTTATCAGCACATCAGTCTGAACTTTTGACCTGAAAGTCACCTCTACACCAGGATTCCATTATACCTCCTGAATCTTCTGGGAAAAAGACTACCCCTTTATAGAAATGCCTCTAGAATTCTAGGAGGCTAGAATTCTGAGATAGAATGCTACAGGTACTGACTAATAGTTTCCCTGGATGAGAGAGCCCAATCTATCTTATTTTTTGTCTTTCTTTTACAAGATTTGCCAGTCCAGGCCAGCACACAAATCTAGATTCTGATCTTGGCTACTTTTGACTGTGCTGATCCGACGCTTTAGACCTAGCTCTTAACTTCCTCTTTGGTGGGTGCACTGTATGTAACTTGAGGTCAGCCCCTCAAAGCCCACCTCTGTGAGAACCAAGGGGAAGATTTCTGTGGTTCTGGAGCCCAGTACTGTGAAGTACATTGCTTTGTGGATTGTTTCTTCTTTTCCAAAGGGGTCTGAGGAGGCCCTAAAGTTTCCTGGGCAGGAGTGTAAGCTTTGGGCTCAGCCTGTCTGAACTCAGCCCACCTGTGTAGCTCCAGGGATGTGGCACAATTTCTCATAGCACAGGGAGCTTGCAGGAGATAGGATGATGATAATGGGGGTGGGAGAGAGAGGGAGGGAGGAAGAGAGAGAGAGAGAGAGAGAGAGAGAGAGAGAGAGAGAGAGGTGCTGTAACGCTGGTCTGGCACTTCCAACTAGCCATTTTATTCCCCTGTTAGACATAAATAATCTTGCAAGAGTCCTCTGAGACTGTGATACAATGAGATAAAATAAGCCCATTTCACCATTTTTGTCTAAGCACAGGCAAACACAAAGTTCATGTGCCATCCAAAAAATACCAAATACTCTCTTTCCTCAGCTGAAAGTATTGGCTGCTACTCCTAAAAAAAAAGTTTTTTTGTTTTTTTTTTTAAATTAATTGCAGCTGTATCCTTGTTTTCCTGTGTTGTGTGGAGCAAGTCATAAACCTAATTTGTTTAATGAGGTATGTTCCAGGTGGTGTCTAACTGAAGGACATTGGTGGGAATACATGGGACAATATTTATAATGCATTTGGCACATACTTGGCATAAATGAACACAGTAATATTTCAAAATTCCTGAAGATTTTATCCTCTACAAAGCCATTTGGTGGTTTAAGAAAAAGTCAGGCTTGGAAGGAACTTGAGAAATTATCTAGTGTTTTTCAAGTTCCAGCAGGCATAAACATCACCTTCCTTGTTAAAAATCAAAACTACCAGTCCCTACTCTCCCTCAAGATTCTACATCATTGAATTAAGAATGAACTCCTGGCATTTGCATTTTTAACCAGCACCAAATAATTCTTAGACTAAATGTTGAAAAACACATCTACTCCAGTTTCATTGTGTATATGGCCTTTTATGAGATTAAATAGGCAAGAAGATATTGCAGATTCAAAGTTGAAAAGAGGAAATGCCCTTTACAGAACTTTAGTCTCATCTCAGAATGGCAGTCTTTTCAGAATCTTTCTCCTTATCTTTGTTCCCCTCCATACCGCTTACTGCCTTACTTAGGGGGTCTCTTCATATCTCAGCTGGACTTTCGTCAGCCCCCTATCCTGCCCGGTCTTGCCTTCATCCACACTGCCCGCTGCCAGCATGCTGGGGTGATGAGAATGGGCTCATCTGCTCGGCGCACTCCATTGCCTGACACTGGTTTGGCACCAAACACCAATCCCTTAGCCCGGCACATGAGACACATGTCTGTTGTTATACGATCTGTCACTCAGAACCACACTGTCCTTTCCCAAATGCATGATGTTAATTTCACATGACTCTGGTTTTTCTCTACTTTTCAACTTTCCTTCAAGCCTCAGCTCAAGCATCAGTTCCACTGTAAAGAATTTTTAGATCCTTTCCTAACCTTCTAAATTGAACTTAACATTGTCCCTTGCTTTCTCAAGCATCCTGTTAATACCACTGTAGTGGTAACTGTCACTTCTCTATTTTGGTTAGACTGCAGTCCTTTGGAATAGATATGGGGAGCCCCATTTTTATTTTGGCATCCTCAATAATTAGCAAAATGGATTGGTAAATAAAACTTACTGCCCAAATGCTTGGGAGATGAATGAATATTGTCATCTAATCTGAAATTCTTCGTTGCAAGAGTCCCTCGGGCCTTTTCAAATGCTCAGCCCACACCGGCATCCACACTCACATCAAAGGCTCTCACTGCAAACTTCAGTGTACAGGATGACATAAACACCCTGTGCTTGATTAATTTCACCCTGTATAACAGTGGAGATGAATAAGGGAACGGGAGAAATCTTGAATGTTGTGTTGTCTCCTAAACCATGCACTCCTTAGTAATTTTAATGGTATAATATTTATGTCTTTTGAAATGACAAATTAATGTTCCAACAGCAGTGGGGCAGTCTCAGAGTTTTGATAGTGTCTAAGGTCCAGCCAACAGTTGATTTTACTACCTTTCTTCTTCTTCGCAATGAATGCAGAATTTGTATCAAATACGTGCCTGGTTAAATAAGCAGAGGCCACTCTGTACTAGTGACTTGTTCTTTATATTGGGATTAGGGAAGGATACCTTTCCCTTTGCCTCTATTTCGGGGATGGGAACAAGCAGTTTTCAAGAATAAAGTCTCCATCAAAGAGCTCCAGGAACTCTTAATTTTTGTGTTTTCTGTTCAGGTATTTCAGGATAACTTCTATTCCTGAAGTTTAATTTTATACCTACTCAGTGAATAGTGTAAAATTCAGCACCCCAGAAAGATTTAGTTTTCTAATTTATATTTGATGCTTTATTGGCAAATAGTGGACTCTGGTTAATTTCTCCAGGAAGCCAACATCAGTGTTGGGAGTATAAAGGTTATACTTGGGACTTAGGAGCAGTTAACACAAAGTAATCTGCGAATTTATTTTCTAGGAGAGGAACCTGTATGTATTTGTATGCAATTGCTGACCATGTGCCACAGTTTTCTTAGAAAAATCCTGGTTCAGGCTTCCTGTTCCAGTATGATTATTAATAAGACATCTTTTCACTCTTAAAAACTTGGTTTTTAAGTCTTAAAGACTTGGTTTAAGGAACAGGTTATATGTTCACTCTGTGTACAAGCCATGTAAGCACTGGATATGAAGGCCCTGAAGACACAGGATTAAAGCAGACTTTGTAGAAAATGAACATCCTTGTGTGTATAGATATGAATGCACTGAGGAGAGAGGAACAAAGCAGGGAAGGCTTGCAGGCCACTCAGCGGAGGCCAAACCTATAGACCACACAAAGCAGTGCCATTTAATGTGAAATTCAGTATAACTGTCTTCTGATAATCTTGTACCTGTGCCTCCAGAACCTCTGTTATAAAGCCAGCTGTGCCCACCAATGTTTTATGATGGTTCAGGGAAAAGAGTTCAGTGTCAGTATGGCGCCCTGTCAGGGCAGCACTTGTGGGAGGGTGAGATGACCAATCCAATGACAAGGCAGGGGTGCAGGGTGGAGGGCTGCTGAGAAAAGCACAAACCACTCATTCCTTCTCCAGAATTACAAGAGACATGGGGCTATTTATCTGTTGGAAGAAGTGGATTCACAAAGCTCTCACCCATGTGGGATGAGATTTGAGCCAGCTTGTTAGAATCTCAAAGGGTGGGGAATGCAATGAATTTTGACTTGAAATTATCAGTTTCAGTGGTGAACTTTACCAGAAACAGCCCCCAAAACTTTATTCACTTACTGCAGGATGTTTTTGGGGACATTGTTTATTCAGCAGTCTTTTAACCAGTATCCACAGGAAAGTCTACTTTTAGGTTTTATTTTTTTTGTTTTTGTTTTTTTTTTGGTTTTTCTCCGGTACCAGGAACTGAACTCACGACCTTGCGCTTGCCAGGCAGGCGCTTTTGCCGCTGAGCTAAATCCCCAGCCCCTACTTTTAGGTTTTAATACTAGGAATATATAGGATTTCCTTGACGACTAATTTATTTGTCTTATAGACTCTGTGACTCGTGAAACTGATTTTGTTTTCCTGTCTTCTATGACTGCTGGATCAAAATTTGGGTGTCTACAGCTAACATAGCACCTTCCAGCCTACAATTTGAGCTTGATCTTCACTATGGTTTCATCTCATCTCTCCTATTCTTGATTTTCTTCTGACCCAATTTCTTCATCCACTTATTTTTAACTTATTATATCATATTTTTACTAGAAGCTTTAATCAATCTTGGAAAACTAAGGGAAACAGATGCACAATTATATAGACTTCTCCAGAAAGTTGAGATTCCTTATTTTCCATTTATCATTATTTTCTATGTTTAAGTCAGAATACATTTATTTACTTTCTACTAAAATGATGTAAGACTGAGTTTTCTTATGGGTATGTGGTTTTGTACATGCCTTGAAATCTTCTACAAAGCTCATACAGTAAACAAACAGAGATTGGATATTAAGATTGGAAATCTCATCAAGGAATAAAGTATTGGAAATTAAACTGGGAGGAAAGAGATAGTGGCTGTCAGAAGGATACAGAATGCAACAAATGAGACCTGCTTGTTTGTTTCCTTATGGAGCTAAAGTAAGAGCTTGGCTACTGAGAATGATTTCCCTCATCCGCTAACACTGGTCAGGATAGTCAGTGGGGATAACATGTAGGGATAACTTGAGCTGCTTCAGTCAGTATGGATTCAGCATTGTAGCCCCTGATACATCCTGCATAGACAACCACAGCTAGCTTTGTGCTAATTGAAGTTTTTGTTAAGTCTACATGACTTGCTCATTAGAAAAGTGATGGA